TTAGCTTATTAAAGACGTCCACCAGAAATTATGCATTTTTGTTTAGTCCCCCCCCTGAGGACCAAGTACATACTTGGCCAAACCCACGTCCCCAGCCTCCTTCCAACCACACGGCTAAGAAAAGGAGAGGGATTTGTGGATGATGACTCTGGTCTCTGGAAGTCGGGGTTCCTGCTCCAGAGACCAGCGATGCCCACATGGAAATGGAAGAAAAATATAATTTTAAAAACACACTCTTCTTAAATATATTGACATATATTTGAAATACTACAATTTTTGCTGTATTCAATATAAATAAATATATATATTTTAAAATAAAAAAAATAATTTTATATATATATAGATATATAAAAAAATTTTTTTTAAATATATTGAATATATATATATATATATATATTTATATATATATATATATTTTATATATATATATATTTGATATATTTATTATATATATATATATATATATATTATATATATATATATATATATATATATTTATTTATATATATATATATATATATATATATATATATTATATATATATATATATATTTATATATATATTTATATATATATATATATTTATATATTTATATATTTATATATTTATAATATATATATATATATTTATTTATATATATATATATATATATATATATATATATATATATATTTATATATATATATATATATATATTATATATATATATATATTTTATATATATATTTATATATATTATATATATTTATATATATATATATATATATATATATATATTTATATATATATATTTATATATATATATATTTATATATATATATTTATATATATATATTTATATTTATATATATATATATATATTTATATATATATTTATATATATATATTTAGTATATATATATATACACACACACATACATACTGTACATAGTATGTTGAAATGCATTTTTATTACAAAATATATGAAAAATGTTTGTAAAAATACATTTTCAAATATACTGTATGTCTTTAAAAATGCATTTAATCTATGTTTTTGGAGTGCATTTACAAATATATGTTAGTATATGTGTTAAAATGACTTTTTTATATGTTAAAAAAAAGTCTGAAGAACATACTTAAAATAAATATATTTAAAAAAATATTTTGTAATATATAAAAAATGCATTGCAGCATGCAGTGTGTGTGTGTATGTATATATATAATGTCACTATATTTGGGAAGGATATTTTTCAAATATATTTTTCTTCCATGTGGGTGCCATGACCAAATGATCAGTTATCTAAGCGTACTCAGCCCTGGCAGATGGGTCGCACAGTGCTGAGTGATATATTTCTAGTAAAAGCACACTGGGGCTGTCTCAGCGGAAGTGATGTCATGTTCTTTTGCTTCCGCTGTGTGATAAGACACCAGCGAACAGGTGGGAAGCCACACGTTCCTCATTGGCTGATAGTAATACGGAGTCATGTCAGAGCTTACTGAGCTTCAAAGAGGGCAAATTGTTGGAGCCGCTTAGAAGGCGCCTCTGTGACTGAAGTTGACAATTTATTTGCTGCGTCGCCAGGTACAGTATCAAAAGTTATGGCAGCGTATGCGGTTTCCAGGAAAACGTCTGATAAGCGCGGTGGCCACAGTCAACTGACCGAAAGGGACAAAAGGACAATGCGCAGGATTGTGACCCGGAATAGGAAAACAACTGCTGCAAAAGTGACTGCAGAGCTCAATCTCAGTCCCGTGAAGACTGCGATTGAGCTGTGCAGTCACTTTTGCAGCATTTGGGACCTGCATGCTATGCACAACATATCGGCCATCAAAACATACACGGCACTGAGTAAAGGATCATTTCGCATTGCAGGGATGTGTGATCCATCTCATGGGTCCCTGTATGTTTCCAAGCAAGCAACCGCAGATAGATCACACAGCCCCATATTGCTAAATGATATTTTTCTGCACTGCACATAATAGCCCAAAGAAGACCAAAGTGACCTCAAAGGAAATGCAAGCTTAGGAAAAAATGAACTACAAATGCACATCACTGCGCATACAAATATGTGCAGTTTCTGGTGTGAGTGGGCTCTGTAGCCTTTCCTTTTTTTCTCTGGTCACACTGTACAAAAAATAAAAATCCGCAGCTACAAAAACTAGCTGCTGACTTTTAAAAAAACAGCCACTTACCTGTCCTTCGATCCCGCGGTGTGTCCCCCGCAGCCCGTTTCACACGTCTGTCCTGTTTCCCCGGCGCCGGCATCTTCAGTGTGGGCAACTGGGTGTGATAGCTTGCGGCTTCACAGCCGGGTGCCCATTGCGCGTGTGCGAGTAGCGCTGCGCTTTGTCAATGGTCCCGTAGTCTTCTGGGACCTGTCATGTATCCCAGGGGACAACGTGGAGGGGGGGGGCAATCACAGTGGAAGCGGGTACCTTTTAGTTTTGGGTACCCATCCCCGCCTGCTCCCCAAAGTTTCCAATCCTTAATGAGGAATGGGGGACTAGTCTTTAAAGCGGAACTTCCCCTTTTGGGTGGCGCTCCACTTTACAGTGGGGCCCCGCCATCACTTTCCAATTCTAAACCAACTATTGTACTTGTGAAATGTAACACATTTCTGTTTTCAGCTGAGCTTATTTTTGTTTTGTTTTTTTAGATTTGATTTGGTGAAGAGCATGTAATTTTTTCCTAAGCTTGCATTTCCTTTGAGGTCACTTCGGTCTCCTTTGGGCTATTATGTGCAATGCATTTTTCTGCATTTGCTGTGCAGAAAAATGCAGCTTGCTGTACTTTTTTTTTTTTCACTGCATTGCAATAGTTTGAAATCTGCCCCAGGATAACCTGGAGTTTGGACTGTCTCTGCAGTTGGGAGCGCACTCAAAAATGCATCCCAATGCATCTAATGTTGAATGGCCACTAAAAGCAAGAAGAAAAAGTGGGCCCTGTAGCCTTTTCTTTCTTTTTCTTTTTCTTTCTTTCTCTTTCTTTCATTCTTTTTTTCTTTCTCTCTCTCTCTCTCTCTTTCTCTTCTTCTCTCTTTCTTTCTTTCTCTCTTTCCTTCTTCTTTCTCTCTCTATTTCTTTTCTTTCTTTCTTTAAAGGAATACTTTTTATTACTTTTTATCTCTCTCTTTTCATTCTTTCTTTCTTTCTTTCTTTCTTTCTTTCTTTCTTTCTTTTTTTCTCTTTCTTTCTTTTTTCTTTCTTTCTTTCTTTCTTTTTTCTCTTTCTTTCTTTTTTCTTTTTTCTTTCTTTCTTTCTTTTTTCTTTCTTTTCTTTTTCTTTTACTTGCTTTCTTTTTCTTTCTTTCTTTCTCCTTTCTTTCTTTTTTCTCCTTTCTTTTTCTTTCTTTCTTTTTCTTTTTGCTTTCTTTTTCTTTCTTTCTTTCTTTTCTTTTTTCTTTTTCTTTCTTTTTCTCTTTCTTTTACTCTTTCTTTTTCTCTTTCTTTCTTTCGTTTTCTTTTTCTCTTTCTTTTTCTCTTTCTTTCTCTCTTTCTTTCTCTCTCTTTCTTTCTCTTTCTTTTCTCTTTCTTTCGTTTTCTTTCTTTCTTTCGTTTCTTTCTTTCTTTTTTTTCTCTTTCTTTTTTTTTCTCTTTCTTTCTTTTTTTTCTCCTTTCTTTCTTCTTTTCTGCTTTCTTTCTTTCTTTTTTTCGCTTTTCTTTCTTTTTTTTTCTCCTTTCTTTCTTTTTTTTTTTCTTTCTTTCTTTCTTTCTTGAGAGCTTTCAATAAAGAATGCTTTTTATTTATCGTAAAAAAGAAAAAAGTATTTTGCCGCAGAGTAGACTGTATACCTGATGCAAGCACGAAAAAAAAAAAAATAACCCCTCTGGTGTGCGCTTCTTGATTGTAGCATCGAGGACCTTTTAGCGGACACAGACGAGGAGGAAGAGGAGGATGAGAAGCAGAAGAAGCAGCAGAGCAAACAGCAGAAGAAGCAGACGCGGCAGATGAGCAGAGCCTGGCTGAAGGAAGGGGAAGGAGACGAACCTCTGAACTTCCTCGATGCAAACGCCGCTCAGAGAGTATTAGGCGAGTCATTCTTCTATTTCCACACTGAACACTTTACAAATGTATTATTATACAGGATTTATATAGTGTCAGCGGTTTGCTCAGCGCTTTACAATAGAAAGGGAGATGATACAGAAATCAGAGAGGGGGCAGGCCAGTGGAGGGATTGGCAGAGAGGGATGGATGACACTGAGTGGAAGTCAGTGGAGGGATTGGCAGAGAGGGGGAGGACACCGAGTGGAAGTCAGTGGAGGGATTGGCAGAGAGGGATGGAGGACACCGAGTGGAGGCCAGTGGACGGATTGGCAGAGAGGGGATGGAGGACACCGAGTGGAGGTCAGTGGAGGGATTGGCACAAGAGAGGGGTGGAGGACACCGAGTGGAGGCCAGTGGAGGGATTGGCAGAGAGGGGTGGAGGACACCGAGTGGAGGCAGTGAGGAGATTGGCAGAGAGAGATGGATGACACTGAGTGGAAATCAGTGGAGAGATTGGCAGAGCGGGGTGGAGGTCAGTGAAGGGATTGGCAGAGAGGGATGGAAGACACCGAGTGGAGGCCAGTGGAGGGATTGGCAGAGAGAGGATGGAGGACACCGAGTGGAGGCCAGTGGAGGGATTGGTAGAGAGAGATGGAGGACACCGAGTGGAGGTCAGTGGAGGGATTGGCAGAGAGAGATGGAGGACACCGAGTGGAGGCCAGTGGAGGGATTGGCAGAGAGGGATGGAGGACACCGAGTGGAAGTCAGTGGAGGGATTGGCAGAGAGGGATGGAGGACACCGAGTGGAGGCCAGTGGACGGATTGGCAGAGAGGGATGGAGGACACCGAGTGGAGGTCAGTGGAGGGATTGGCAGAGAGGGGTGGAGGACACCGAGTGGAGGCCAGTGGAGGGATTGGCAGAGAGGGGTGGAGGACACCGAGTGGAGGCCAGTGGAGGATTGGCAGAGAGAGATGGAGGACACCGAGTGGAAGTCATTGGAGGGATTGGCAGAGAGGGATGGAGGACACCGAGTGGAGGCCAGTGGACGGATTGGCAGAGAGGGATGGAGGACACCGAGTGGAGGTCAGTGAAGGGATTGGCAGAGAGGGGTGGAGGACACCGAGTGGAGGCCAGTGGAGGGATTGGCAGAGAGGAATGGAGGCCGCCGAGTGGAGATCAGTGGAGGGGATTGGCAGAGAGGGATGCAGGACACCGATTGGAGGGATTGGCAGAAAGGGGTGGAGGCCAGTGGAGGGATTTGCAGAGAGGGATAGAGGGAAGCCAGTGGAGGGATTGGCAGAGAAGGATGGAGGGCATCAAGTGGAGGGCAGTGGAGGGATTGGCAGTGAGGGGTGGAGGACACTGAGTGGAGGTCAGTGGAGGGATTGGCAGAGAGGGGTGGAGGACACCGAGTGGAGGCCAGTGGAGGGATTGGCAGAGAGGAATGGAGGCCTCCGAGTGGAGATCAGTGGAGGGATTGGCAGAGAGGGATGCAGGACACCGATTGGAGGGATTGGCAGAGAGGGGTGGAGGCCAGTGGAGGGATTTGCAGAGAGGGATAGAGGGAAGCCAGTGGAGGGATTGGCAGAGAGGGATGGAGGCCAGTGGAGGGATTGGCAGAGAGGGGTGGCAGATACAGAACGGTTAGTAAGGTGGATGAGTCTGGCAGCAGCATTCATGATAGACTGAAGAGGGGATAGCCTGCGATGAGGTCAGCCAATGAGGAGGGAGTTACAATAGTCAAGGTGAGAGATAACCAGGGAATTGAGCCATGCGAGGGAATCTCTTTCTGATCCAAGGATTGTGTGTTTGGTAGAGAAGCATTTATTATACATTCCAAGCCTTGCACAACACACAGTTTAATTAAAGCTGACTAAGAATAGTGAAGTGTTCCGCTCAGGTCTGGGATCTGCTCTTGATCCCTGAATAATATCTCCACGGGCCGGGTAATTGCTGCAAATCCGTGTTTAAATGTAATTGGACGGTTGGTAACTGTTGGCACTTAATAAAGACGCCGCAGGGGAGAGCCGAGTATTTTCAGCATGGCAGTCGCAAAACATATAAATTGATATTAACCGTTTTCCAACCGCTCTATAGCAGAACTACTACTACAGGGCGGCGTAAAAATCACATCTTTATACTTGATTTTGTATTTCCGTGTAGGGGGTGCGCGCACCACCCTACCCGCGCCACCAATGGAGGATACAGCTGTCAGTCCGCTAAGGAACCCTGACAGGGTAGAGGTCTGTATGTAAGCAATACAGATCTCTCCTCTGTCAGCACCAGCATGCTGCTTTGTATTGCTCTGCAGAGAGCAATACAAAGCAGCATGCTTACACAGTAAAACACACACTGCACACATAGTAAAACAGCACACAGTTAACCCTTTGATCGCCCCTCATGTTAACCCCTTCCTGCCCAGTGCCATTAGTACAGTGTCAGTGCTTTTTATTAGCAATGATCACTGTATTGGTGTCACTGGGGATGTCAGTGACACCAAGTCCGTTTCCCCACAGTGTCAGAATGCCCGCCGCAGTCCCGCTATAAGTCACCAATCACCGCCAATACTAGTTGTTGTAAAAAAAAAAAAAAAATCCTAGTACATATTCCGCCATTTGTAGACGTTATAACTTTCACGTAAACCAATTAATTTACACATATTGGGATTTTTTTTTTTAGCAAAGACATTTTGGCCTAAATTTATGCCGAAATGTGATTTTTTCCATTTTTATTGGACACGTTAACCCCTTGCCTACCGGGCAGCCCCCCCCCCCTTCCTGCCCAGGCCAATTTTCAGCTTTCAGCTCTGTCGCACTTTGACAATTGCGCGGTCATGCAACAATGTACCCATATGACATTGTTATAATTTGTTTTTCACACAAATAGAGCTTTCTTTTGGTGGTATTTACTCCCCACTGGGGGTTTTATTTTTTGCGCTATAAACAAAAAAAGAGCAAAAAAATTTGAAAAAAAAAAAGTTTTTCTTTTGTTTCTATTATAAAATTTTGCAAACAGGTAATCTTTCTCCTTCACTGATGTGCGTTGAGGCTGCACTGATAGTCAGCACTGATGGGCGGCACAGATAGGCAGCAATGATGGGCACTGATAGGCGGCACTGATGAGCACAGATGGGTGGCACGGACGTGCAGTGATGGGGGGCACTGACTGGCGGCAGTGATGGGGGGCACTGACTGGCGGCACTGATGGGGGGCACTGCTGGGCACAGGGGGGGTGGCAGTGCTGGGCACAGGTCTGTGGCACTGCTGAGCACTGATGATCAGTGCCGATCTGTTTTTCTGACTATTGCCAGTTATCGGCAGTACTTTTCTCACGCTTGGACACACAGCTGATCCGTAGGACACATTGATCATGGAGATCGGCGAGGGCGCGTGGGAGGACGTCATATGACGCCCTCCCAGAACTGAACAACCACACTGTAGCCGTCATTCAGCTATAGCGCGTTTGGCAAATGGTTAATAGCAAAAAGTAAAAAATATTGTTTTTTTCCCTCAAAATATTCAGGGCTTTTTTTTTTTTTTATAGCACCAAAAGTAAAAACCGCAGAGGCGATCAAATACCACAGGAAGCTCAATTCATGGGAAAAAAAAGTCAATTTCATTTGGGTGGAGCGTTGCATGACCGCGCAATTGTCAGTTAAAGTAACTCCGTGCCGTATTGTAAAAAATGGCCTGGTCAGGAGGGGGGGGATCCTCTGGAGGGCAAGGGGGGGGAGGATCCTCTGGAGGGCAGTGTGGGGGGGGTGGGGGTGGATCCTCTGGAGGGTAAGGGGGGGGGGGGGGGAGTAAAGTAAATCCTCTGGAGGGTGAGGGGTTAAACTAATGGGAGGAAAGTTCAAAACTGATCTCAGAAAAGTACTATTTTACTGCAAGAGTAGTTGATGCCGGGAATTAACTTCCAGCAGAGGTAGTGAGCCCATCAATGGTAAATACCGGCAGATATGCTTGGGGCAAGCATACAATAAAGGATACAATGCGTATTTGCTCCCTCCCCAGCTATGCTGAATGTTCGCCCCTCACACAGAAATGCGTCTAACAATGGAATTTCGCCCCTCACACAGAAAATGATCGGTCTAACAATGAATGTTCGCCCCTCACACAGAAATGATCGGTTTAACAATGGAATGTTCGCCCCTCACACAGAAATGATCGGTCTAACAATGGAATGTTCGGTGTAACACTGAGAGACAGAATACAACAACAAATTCAGCAGAAATGCGTCTAACAAATGATGACGGATCTGCATGTTCATGAGGGAAAGAAGGATTTGATCCCCTTCACAAAACATGACTTAGTACTTGGTGGCCAATCCCTTGTTGGCAATCACAGAGGTCAGACGTTTCCTGGAGTTGGCCCCCAGGTTCGCACACATCTCAGGAGGGATTTTGGCCCACTCCTCTTGGCAGATCCTCTCCAAGTCATTAAGGTTTGGTGGCTGATGTTTGGCAACTCGAACTTTCAGCTCCCTCCACAGATTTTCAATCGGATTAAGGTCCAAGAGACTGGCTAGGCACTCCAGGACCTTAATGTGCTTCTTCTTGAGCCGCTCCTTTGTTGCCTTGGCCGTGTGTTTTGGGTCATTGTCATGCTGGAACACCCATCCACCACCCATTTTCAATGCCCTGGCTGAGGGAAGAAGGTTCTCACCCAAGATTTGATGGTACATTGCCCCATCCATCGTCCCTTTGATGCGGTTTGCAGTTGTCCTGTCCCCCTTAGCAGAAAAACACCCCCAAAGCAGAATGTTTCCACCACCATGTTTCACAGTTGGGATGGTGTTCTTGGGGTCATAGGCAGCATTCCTCCTCCTCCTCCAAACACGACGGAGTTGAGTTGATGCCAAAGAGCTGGATTTTGGTCTCCTCTGACCACAACACTTCCACCAGTCCTCCTCTGTATCATTCAGATGTTCAGTGGCAGACTTCAGACGGGCCTGGACATGTGCTTTCTTGAGCAGAGGGACCTTGCGGGGGCACTGCAGGATTTCAGTCCTTGTCGGCGTAGTGTGTTACCAATTGTTTTCTTGGTGACTGTGGTCCCAGCTGCCTGGAGATCATTGACAAGATCCTCACGTGTAGTTCTGGGATGATTCCTCACTGTTCTCATGACATTGACACTCCACGAGGTGAGATCTTGCATGGTGCACCAGACCTAGGGAGACTGACACTTGTTTTGTGTTTCTTCCATTTGTGAATGATTGCACCAACTGTTGTCACCTTCTCACCAAGCTGCTTGGCCATAGTTTGGTAGCCCAGTCCAGCCTTGTGTAGGTCTACATCTTGTCCCTGACATCCTTGGACAGCTCTTTGGTCTTTGCCATGGTGGAGAGTTTGGAATCTGATGGTTTGATTGCTCCTGTGGACAGGTGTCTTTTATACAGGTAACACAATGAGATTAGCAGCACTCCCTTTAAGAGACTGCTTCTATTCTCAGCTTGTTACCTGTATGAAAGACACCTGGGAGCCAGAAATCCTGCTGAATGATAGGGGATCAAATCCTTCTTTCCCTCATGAACATGCAGATCAGTCATCATTTCTTAGACGCATTTCTGCTGAATTTGTTGTTGTATTCTGTCTCTGTGTTACACCGAACATTCCATTGTTAGAACATTCCGATCATTTCTTTGTGAGGGGCGAACATTCAACATCAGCCGGGGAGCAAATACGCATTTCCTTCACTGTAGTTCCATAGTTAGTCTGGCTGAAAAAAAAAAAAGAGACAAAAGTCCATCCAGTTCAACCATTAGAAAAAAAAGTTTTTGAATTGTATGGTACTTGTACCGTCTGCCCTCATGTAAAAGCGCGGCGCAAACAGTTGTCGCTCTATAAATCCTGTATAATAACCGCTACTATATATGGAGATCCAGAAAGCAGACATTAGCCCAGGACTGCCCAGAGATTTCAGATAAGTGCTCTTTGTTGGAAGCAAAAATAAAGTCGTTATCCGCTTATCCATATCGAGCCGCGAGGATAATTGTTTTTATAATTAATGTAGAAAACCTGCCTTTCATCTTTTTATACCGCAGCCACAAAACCGGGACTGAAGAGCACAAAGCAAAGCCGCGACTTCAAAGTCACAAATGACGGACGGCTCATTATCAAGGACGAGGATGCGGAGGAAGAGAAGTCAAAAGGTTTGTGGCGCTCGGCGATTTTTTTTTTTTTTTTCTTAGAAATGAACGACTTTCAGTAGTCTCAGCGCAGCGCTCGTCAGTAGTCTACCTTCATGAGCAGCTGTTCCATAATGATCTCCATAAGCTGTACGGATGGTGCTCATCCACACGGTCCTCCTGGACTATTCATTAATATTCAACCTGCTGAGGAATTGGCAGAAGGAAATCAGCAGAGGAGGAGGAGGAGAAACCCACGTGGAAGAAAAATATATTTGAAATACTAAAATTTTGGCCACATTCAATATATTTCAATGAATATATATATATATATATATATATATTATATATATATATATATATATATATATACAGTGGGGCAAAAACATATTTAGTCACCACCAATTGTACAAGTTCTCCCACTTACAAAGATGAGAGAGGCCTGTAATTGGCATCATAGGGAGACCTCAACTATGAGAGACAAAATGAGAAAACAAATCCAGACAATCTCATTGGCTGATCTGGAAAGAATTTATTTGCTAATTATGGTGGAAAATAAGTATTTGGTGAATATGAAAAGTTGATCTCAATACTTTGTTATATATCCTTTGTTGGCAATGACAGAGGTCAGACGTTTCCTGGAAGTCTTCACAAGGTTGGCACACACTGTTGCTGGTATGTTGGCCCATCCTCCATGCAGATCTCCTCTAGAGCAAT